ACTGGGAATGCAGCTGGTTCCCATCTTTTGACTCTGATCCTTCTCGTGTTAAAAACAGTGGTCCCAGCTGTTCAGACATCATAGAAGGGCACTCCCTGCAAAGCAGAGCCTATTCCTTCCCATGCGCAGCCTTTTAAGAGAGGAAGGCTCTACCATAAGCTCCTCATTGAAGTCCCCTCAAGTCCCATGGGCCACAGCCAATCACATATCCATGCTCTGACCCCAAGGGATACTTGGGTAAAGGCTGCATGTGAGAATTGGCCTGGCCATGCTGGCACTCCCAGGGCTCTCTGCCTTTGCTTATGTTCCTGCTCCAACCAGCGAACTCATCCTCATCCTCTCACTCCTGTCTTTCCCTTACTCCAACTTCTGTCCCCAGGAAGTTCAGAGATCCTCCCCACTGTTTTTTCAGGCTTTTCTCCACCACTTCCTGTCCCTCTGCTATGGTTTGGATCTTCAATGTCCCACAAAAGCCCATAAGTTAAGGGCCTTGTCCCCAGCCTGTGTTGCTACTGGAAGGTGGTGGAAACTTCTAAGACTTGGGGCCCATGGAAGGTTTTGGGTTATTGGGGTCACGTCCTTAGACATGGGAATAGTAGAACTCTGGTCTCTCCCTCTTTTTCTCTGCTTTCCAGCCACTATGAGGCGAGCAGTTTCCTCCCACCACCATGTGCTGCCTTCCCACAGGCCCAAAAGTATCAGGCCAACCAACCACGGATTGAAACCTCCAAACTATGGGCCAAAATGAACCTTTTCTTTCTTCACAGTTGATTTATCACTAGTATTTGTTACAGTAATGGAAGGCGGATTAACACACTCCCTGTCTGGACTTCCTTACACGTCATGAGCTTCAGCAGTCAGGCCTCTTTCATCAGGGGACCCCTGGGACCCACCACAGGCCTGGTGCACAACGATGCCTGAAGAGTGCCCTTGAACAGGGGAAAAAAGCAGATGATGCTAAGAATGTCCTGGGAGGAAGAAAGGTCAAGGCAGGGAAGCAGCTTCCGGACAGAGTGAGTGCAAACACTGGAGGCTGCAGTACCGGCAGAGCAGAAAAGGTCAGGATCTGTCATTGGGAAGGTTATGATTGATACTCACAGAAAAGCCCCACTGCAGTGAGGGCTCTGAATGAAGGGGACTAAATATTAGGTCAGAGGTGACATAGATGGCCACAGCTGGATTTGGATTCACATGACAGAATCCTCACTCTCTTTTATTATTATTATTATTATTATTATTATTATTATTATTATCATTATTATTATTATTATTATTATTATTTTCTTTTGCAGTACTGGGGACAGAACCCAGGGCCTCATGCATGCTAGGTAAGGAATCTACCACTGAGCTGTATCCCCAGCCCTTCTCATTCTTCATTCAGTGTAAGAAATGCATGGCCTCAAATAAGTTGTTCTAGAAATACTGTAACAATTTTAACAGATTAAAGCTACCAAACAAACAATGTGACAATCCCTATCTATGCCAGGCCATACCATCTCACAAAACATCTTCTCCCTATCTTGGTTTTCCAGAGGATTCCTGAGCTGGGTGGTGCAGGGGTCAGAGACAAGGCTGGTATTCTCTATAGTTCTATGACTCATGGAATCCAAAATGACCTCTGAAGGACAGAGATTCCTTGGAGGCAGGAGAAAGAACAAAAGATGATCCTGAATGTGAGCTTAGGATCATATGGTAATTTCAGTGGCCACCTGAGGCAGAATCCCAGAGACACCCTGGAAGTTCAGGCCTGATTTTACTTGGCTGGTGGCCACCAGGCCCTGGTGTTGGAATCTGGATGGTTCCTGTGTACCAGGCTCTTTCAACTATGGCTGTTCTGAGGCTATTCATTTGAGGAGTGCAGACAGATACTGTCAAAGAGTCCAGCTTACTAACTGCAGACTTTCAAAGTCATTAAGGAACATTTGAGCTGACCAGGGTAAAATTCCCAGCTGAGCCTAGCTTTTCCATTCTCTGAGTTCACTCAGTGCTCAGGAAAGGAAATTTGCAGCAATAGCTGAATTCCATCCGTCTGTCCACATCCCAGCCCCTTAACCCTACATAGGTCTCTAAGGTTGAAACTCAACTGACCATTTTGTCTCCCTCAAAAAAGCTTGAGATCTGCTGGGGATTTTCAACGCCATGTCAATGGCTCCACTGTGGGTCCCTTTTGTGTAGGGGCCATGGTTTCCTTTGTCCAATGCTTTCTCCTTGTACCAGCTGTAGATTTGCTCTGCATGAGTCAGGAACTTCTGGTCTACTCTGCTCTCCAAGCAGAAGGCTCTGTCTCTTCTTTCCCCAGTAGATCTGGAAGTATCCTCAGCTTTCAAAGGGTTACCAACATCTCTCCTGCTCTCTTCGTTCTCCTTTGTGAGTCTGATTGGCTGAATTTTCTCTAGTCTCTTATTGCATCTCTGTCACTGCTTTCTTCCTCTGTTTTCATCTCCAGCACTACTACCAAGTAACCCCTGGATGGTTCCTCCCCGGCTTGCCTCTGGTTCACTCCCAGCCCACTGCAGCCTCCAGCTGTCTACCGACATGGCTCTTCCAAAAGGCAGGGCCATTTCCTGAGCCTTCTTCTTCTTCCTGTCCTCAATATCCCACATGCCTCCCCTCCCCCACTCCTCACTCTTCCTCTCTGGGTGACCACTGCTGTTGCCCAGTTAGGCATGGACACTGAAGTTGGGTCTTTCTTGTTCAGATGAGAACATCTTGATTTACCTTCAGTTCTACAGGAAGGGGCAGGAGAGGCTGCACCTCTGCAGCCTGCATCCTTCACACCTAGTACCTACACCACAGGCCCAACTGGACTTTCCAATGCCTCACTCGCACCCTGAATTTCATGGCCCTTTCCTGCCTGGAGTGTTCGCCTGCTGCTCCTCCTTCCTCACTGGGAGCCAAGGCTTGCCTCTGTGACCCATGGCAGGCAGCCATGCTCCCTGGGCTTTGACTGGGATGTCTCCTGATAGTCTCCCCCCACACAACCCTGTTTCCTCTGTTGGTCTTGAGAACCCTAACTAATAATATACTGGTCTTACCTCGTATCTCAGCCCCCTTTGTTCATTCCCCTCCCGCCCTCTCCAGTGCTGCTCACTGACTTTTTACAATGCCAATTTGTTCACCAAATTCTCTAATTCCCCATTATCTATTGCTCTATAGTTGTGTCTCCCAAACATCTGACATTTGTGTATCTTCACCATGATGTTTGGTGAGAGATTATAATGTCTCACCTGTACAATTATTTATCTTATAGTTTTCTTAATATCAACATCATTTTAAATTTAAAAATTATTGTAAAAGAAAATCATTATTATTGGTATAAGTAAAAAAACATGAGCCAGGGGATAGCTCAGTGGTAGAGCACATGCTTAGTGTGCAGGAGGCCCTGGGTTCCATCCATAGCACAAACAACAACAAAACTAGAAGCACATTCCATGAAATGAAAATTACTTGAAAAACAAATCCACTTTTTAAATTTTTTTTTTTTTTACCTATATATGTCTAAAACCAATGTGGACAGGGCCATGATAGGATTATTACTCTTTGGGGACCTCAGGTCAAATGAGGAAGGCCAAGCACCTTTGGTGGAGGGCCACACTCCAGGCCCCTTTGGTATGACTCCTACCTCCTCCTCCTAGCTCTCTGAAGATCTAGTTGAGCCCAAAACTTCCAGAATGGGATACACTGCTTCCTGCTTCTGGACCTTCACAAGCATCTCATCTGCTGGAAATTCTCTCCTGCTCCTTAGATCTGTTTAAATTGTGTTCAGTCTTCAAGGTTTTCACCTCTCCATAAAGTATTCCCCAAACTCCTGTTAGGAATATTCTTTCCCTGCCCAAGCAGTTCCACGCTACTCTCTCTCTCTCTGTCTCATATTCACCATTTATCCTCAAGTAAATTATGAGTCCTTTGAAAATCAGGTGTTAGATTTTTATTAGGTTTTATATCCCCTAGCGCCTAAGCCTTGAGTAGAGTTTCAATAAACGTCTATCAATCTGTATGTGGTTCAATTGAATTTCATTGAATTGAATCCAAATGAATGATAATTGAAAAATTTCAGAGGAGGAGGGAAAAATGTTTTTCCAGATTAGAACCTGTGTGTATGGTTGAAGATATTGGATCGTGTGTTTGAAATAAACAAAAAACATTTTGAGAGGGGGAGGAAGTCAAGACTTCTGTCAGAAGACTGATTGTAAATTATGACTATGTACTATCTCAATGTACAGTTGTCAAACTTGTAAATTTTGGAACTATTTCTTGCTTTTTGAAGCATCCATTAGCCTTCACTCAGTCATCAGACACAAATTGGCAGTAATGATATTTAAGACAACCTCCTTCCCAGGGATATTTGCAGTTCACTAGGAATCATGAATTTTGAGATAAAAGCTTTTGTAGACATATTATGAGTCTCAATGAAAAGATAAATAATAATGTTGTAGAAAGGTTTTGAGGCTTTGCTAATTCCCTAAAAGTATAAAATACCATCGTTTCAACTTGGAAGTTAAATTTCTAAGATGGAAAGTCTCCGTGTGGTTGCACGGCGTGACACCATTATCAGCCCTGACTTGGTCATGGGTGCAGAGGTGGCTTCTTGGTGAAACTGCCCTTCAGCTGTAGATGGGAGCAGGGGAGGGCACTTGCTTATCAATTGCCTTTCTAGAGTAGAGTTAGGGATTACACATTAGGAGAAAAGAGGAAAGAGGAAGAGAGACTGTCCATGTTTTTATAACTCCTTCCCTTGTGCTTGAAAATATACTATTTCATTATTTTCCAGAGCTGGTTTGTGGAACCTGTATTCTGTGAAAAATATCAGAATGCACGATGTAGTTCCTTCGCATCAGTTTCACCCCTTGTTGATATTGAATGACGTAGTCACTTTATGGAGGAAATAAAGATATTGATTCATGATGACACTACCCTCTTCTCATTTCTGGTTCCTTTTTCCTGCCCTATATTAAGACTTGCAAGCCCTTGGGAAGGGCTTTTTTTTTTTTTTTTTTTTTTTTGCACTCAAAGAAGAACCTGAGAGAAATCTGTAAGTAACCTTTCAGACTAATCTTTTTTCTAAAATTGCTTTTTAAAAAAGTATTGGTTAATTAGAATAAGCAATTATGACCACTCCTCTGCTCCACAGTCTGCCTATGAATAGAAATATCAGAAAGACAGTCTTTAATGTTGGTATCTGAGTATTCTCTTCTCTGGGAAGACTGCACCCTCCTGCTAGGGCAGTGTGGAGCCCTGTGCCATCTCCTGGCTTTGCAGACTCGACCCTAGGAGCAGAGGCTTCTGGCCTAGGGAGGAGCTGGTGCCCTGTCCTAGGTAGGACAGGAGGCCCTGCCTCACTAACAGGCACACCAGGGTTTGGCAGCCTGCAGTGAGGGACGGACTCTCTCCATGGATGCTCTTCTGTTTACCCATAGCCCTCATCAGTCTTTCCTTTCTTGTGTGAATGTTGCTTTCACAAAGTAAGGCATTTGCTAAGGTTCCCAAGGCAAGAAGGATTAAAACAAAGAGATGAGGAAGTCAGTCCCCTTCAAACAGAGGCCTGGGCTCCTGCTCCAGCTATTTTGGCCGTCTGAGAGAACAGTATGTTCCCAACCAAAGCAAGAGCTTCACAAAAAAAAAAAAAAAGGGAAAGAAAGGAAAAGCAGCCCTCCTTTTTTTCTTCTTGTCTCACTTACAGGTGCCTTTGCTATTCTGTCTCAGAAGTGGGTGCAAACTATCCATGCCAAGAGCCCACTCTGTGGCTCTGATCCACTTTTCATTTCAGAGAAGACGGGGCTGGTGCAGACCTTAGAACCCAGTTAGCTCTTGGGCAGAGGTCCCAAGAGGTGAAGTGACCTGTTTGGAGTGGAGAGTCTAGGCCATAGGCCTCTGGTTTCCCTGCCCACTCTTCTTCCTATTTTACTGTGCCCTTTATTCGGATTTCCTTTAAAATGAGATTTCCATCAAGTTATGGAGGAAGCGAGGAGGCTGAGGGGCTGAAAGTCTCCTTTAAGGGATTTGCAGAGCCGTTTAGAGGAACTCAGGAGGGATAGAGGAACTGTCCTTCTGGGTTTATTTCCCCCCAGGGTGTCTGGAGACTGTAACCAGGCTTGGTGAGCATAAGCCTTTGTCTTCTGCGTGGGAGCAGGGACACAATGAGCTGGAAACTGCAGATGAGGCTGGTGTTTTATAAGTGGGCAAGAGGGCACCTCCTGTAGCCTGGGGCTCCAGGTCTTTCCCAGCAGGAGGGCCACACAGCAGCCTGCCGTTTCTGTTTGACAGCTCTGAAGCTGCATTGATGATGTGCACCTGCAGTATCCCCCCATCTAGAAAGTGAGGGCTCTCATTTAGAGGCTCTCATTATTATTTCATGGCTCCATCTGTTGTGGCTACTGACTGACTGGGCTTTGTATTTGCACCAAAGATACATTCATCTCTATCTTGAGGGTTAATCTGTGCTCAAAAGACTGTGCTCAGGAGCTGGGGATGAAGCTCAGTGGCAGGGCACTGGTCTTCCATGTGTGAGGCCCTGAGTTCAATCCTCAGCACAAAAAAAGAAAACAAAAAAGAAAAAGACTGCTCAGGAATGGAGGTCTTCCTGATTCACCAACGAGGTGGGGGCCTTGGGGGTCAGGAATGGATCCTTTTCCATGCCAGCCCTCATGTTACCAGTGACATTTATTTCCACCTGGACAAAACCATGGCAGTGCATGCACTACTGTGGGGTTTGCCAGCTAGCCTGTGCAGGGCTGACGGAGAAGCCTGGTGGCTTCTGTTTCCCATGGCAACAGCTCAGCTCTGCATAAAAGCAGGTGCACATGGGCTCAGGTTGGATACAAAGACCGCACTGTTCTGCAGGGTTCTGGGCTTGGGCTGGGCTTCTTACCACAACCCTGTCCTTCTCCGGTTTCCTCCCACCCCATCACCAGAAAATTGCTTTGACCCTGTAAAAGAGAGATGGGGCCCCAGTGACACATTGCTGTGGACTCCAGCTAAGGCCTTTCTGCCTGCCATGTGATGCAAACTGTAGGTGAGGGATGAAAGCAAGGAAGTGGTAATTACTACTGGGGAATTGCTGTTGGTAAAAGCAAGGAGCAGGCTTTCTATGCTGGGGAGACGAGGCTGTGAATTCAGGCACTAAACATTATTGATAATGGAAGCAAAATAAAGAGAAATGACAGGTTAAAAGGATCAGGCAGCCTTTTAGAAGCTGCTGAAAGAAACAATGTAGAAGGTGAGAGGGGAATCCAGTAAGCACCAGACAGGGGAATAAAATGGAGTTAGAGATCTTTGAGCAAAAATAAACATGCCCAAGTCATAGAGAAAGCCCTTTATATGTGAGACTAGAAATTGGCTTATAGCATGATTTGAAAACATCACAAAGGATAAGAGGGTAGAAAGGTAATTCTGGGAAGTGGTTGGGAGAGAGATTAAGGTGAGAAGGGGGCAGACAGGAAGAGGGAGCAAAGTGGCTATCACTGAAGCTCACGGGCTGCAGACTCATAGGTATGGTCAAAATCAGCCAGAGTGCTTGCAAACAAGTTGAGCCAAATTCTTTTCTTTCTTTTTTCTTTATTCAAGAGATATCACCCAAAGAAATCCAGAATTTTTCCCCCAGGGTTGGGGATCAAAACCACGGCCTAGTACATGCTAAGCACTTGCTCTACTACTGAGCTATAACCCCAGCTCAGAAATCTAGATTTCTGACTTGAAAATAATCAGAACATCTGGCCACACAGAGTTTATATATAATCTTGAAAAAAATCCTGCTGGTTTGGGGGTTATTTCCTCTACAACTTAAATAGGGGTCATGGTCCCTTCGACACCTCAGATATCTACTGCCCATTGTTTCACACCCCAGAGTATCTGTGTCTCCTTATTTTCTTCACTCTTGACCATGCCTGTCTGACCCTGCAGACAGGCTTCAGGAAGTCTTGGTGCTGCCTGCCCTGCCTGTGTCTGCCAGGTCAGGAAGAGGGCCCACCCTGACCCAGCTAATAGAGAAGGAGGGACCTTGACGCAATGCGCCTCTCTTCCCCTATCCAGGATTGGTTGGGAGCAGGGCCTCTCACCTAGGACCTCAGACCAGGATGGGCCTGAGTCCAGGGAGCCCTTGTTTAAGAGCTGGGCAAGGGTGAGCCTAATGCTGGCTGTTGCCATCTCTAAGTAAACATGGGAATTCATGAGTGGCTTCATGCAGCTGAGCAGAGTGTCTGCCTGCTCAGTAGGGCTGTGCTGGCAAGAGGGGGAAGGACATCGGATGTGTTGACAGTGAAGGGCAAGCTCTTCCTACACCCTGTCTGAATTTTAGCCCACACATGTGGATGGGAACCTGGGAACATATTTCACCTAAAGTTAGAAGACCTTTGAAGATCGTGTTGAAGAGGGCAGAGAGTTCGCCATTTGATCCCTCAGTGTCATGGATTAGAATCCTGGTTCTTCCACTGATTAGCTCTGTGACCTTAATCAAGTATTTTACCTCTCTGAGCCTCATTTTACCATCTAAAAAAGATGTAGACACAAAAATATAAGATTCATGGAAATCATGTATATCAAATGCTAGAACAATTTGTGGTAACAAACTCATAACTGCTATCTATTAGTAGTAGTGTTTCTGTTAAGTTACTAAGTCTCAGACAGAGACCAAAGTTATGGTTTGTCCACTTCTTTAGGTACCTTCTGGTGCCTGGAGACAAATCGGGTATTGTTATGGACTGAATGTTTGTTTCCCCATCTACCACAAGTCTATGTTTAAGGCTTAACCCGCGTGGCTGCATTTGGAAATGGGGTTTCCAAGGAAGCGATGAAGATTATAGGAGGTCATATGGGTGGAGCCCTTACCCAATAGGATTAGTGTCCTTATAACTGCTCTGTTATTGCTTAAAAGAAAAGACTTGTGGCCAAATAGAGCTGAGGCTGAAATGATCTCTGGGTGACATATTGGAAAGGTCGGTATACTTAAGGATAATACAGTATGAAAGAAAGAAGGGTATGGAAGAGGAGGAGGAGGAGGAGGAGGAGGAGGAGGAGGAGGAGGAGGAGGAGGAGGAAAAGGAGAGGTACCAGAGAGCCCACCCTCCTCTCTATGCCATGTGAGGTCACAGAGAGAAGGAGGCCATCAGTGAACCAGGAAGAGAGCCCTCACCAGAACCTGACCCCATAGGACTTTGGTATGGGATCTGCAGCCTTCAGAACAGTGAGAAATATATTTGTCTGCTCTTTAAGTCACAGAGCCTAAGGTATTTTTATGGCTAATCTAGCAGACTGATAGGTATGTGGGAACATTCAGTCCCATTACTCAGGGACCCTAGTAAGGATTTTAGAAAGGATAGTGAAAAGTCCTTTTCATGAGTTATTGATGTGAAGAGATGTTGATGTGATGGGAAAAGTGTTGATTTGTGGTGAACTGGGCTCTTGCTTCAGGCTTTGCCAAATGCCAGGACAGCTTTGGTGGGTCCCTCTTCTCTCTACATTTTCATTTCCTCTGCTGTGAAAATCATCTGGTTTGGTATCATTCACCTGGAACCATGATACCCAATATGTAGATATTCACTTATCACTTATTTCAATTTCAATTCAATTCAAAATTCTATTCCTTGGCACTAGCCCCATCCCAAGTGCTTAGTACTCACATGCAGCTTGTGTCCCTGTGTTGACAGTTCAGATATACAACATGTCGATTATCACAGAAAGTTCTCTCAGCACTGATTCTAGAATTTGCTACCTGAGGTCTGGTCATCAGATGAGCCATGTCAGTGTCAGCTGGAACTTGTTAGATTGCAAAACTTCAGATGCACCTTAGACCTTCTGAATCAAGACCTGCATTTTCACAAGATTCCCCCAGTGATGACAAGCTCACATCTGAGCAGCCCTGATCTATACAATTCCCTCCAGCTCTCAATTAAAATGTAAGAATCAGTGTCCATGCTTGACAAAATCTTTGAGAAAGAACCAAGCAAGTAACTTTTCAAAAGTTAGATTCAGTGATTTGTTGGAAAGAAAGGAACTGAAGTTATTTGCAAAAAGATAAGCAGAATAGCTTCACTGCCACAGGAATGAGAGGAAAGAAGGCAGCCCACCTCTGAAGGCACCAGGGGCAGCATTGCAGGGCTGGGAGGGTGGTACAGTCCTGCCCTGAATCTGAGCCTCCCTTCAACTTGGGAATTCCATCTTTGCCTGAAGGGCAGAGAATGGGAGTTCTCAATTTTCTGTGTCAGCAGAGAAATAGCAAGAAGTAAGGGGTTTTATCTGTGGGACACCTTATGCCCAAGGAGTATTAAGGGTGCTAAAATTTTCCTCCTTAAACCTCACCAGGAAGGAGCACGTAGGTCTTAAATTTAAGTGGGGAAAATGAGGAACTGAGAATGGAGAAGAAATCTAAGCCACCCCTGACAGGAACGGAAGGGCAGGCCCATGGTCCAAAGCTCTGCTCTGTGGCTTGAGCTGTAAAATAGGAGCAAATGTGTCTGGTCTTCTCAATGTGGAAAGGTTCGGTGTCTTTGGGTGACATGCTGTTTTCAGCACAATTACAAGAGGATAAGTTTAGATCTGTAGCTTGTTGAGCAAATATGTGCCTCTTACAGGACAAAATTACAGGCATAGATCTTATTTAATTGATACTAGATTTTATTGCAGAATGTTAAAATTTTAATGTGTCCATAAACCCATTTCATACTTTCAGGGAAATATCAGTGTTAAGAACACATTGTACGAGGATGAAGGCAAGAGAAGGGGAAAAAGAACCACAGTATACATTATTAATATTTCAGGAGGCAAGCAGAAGGGTGCCTCATAAAGGAAATTAGAAAAAAAATAAACAAAAGAGCTGGGATTTCTGATTTGGTTAGAGAAGAATCTGCTAATTGGAGACAGATTATGGTTGATTATTTAGATGTAGGAGGAAAAAACACTGAAGATAGTGGAGATGGGTTTGTGATATTCGGGTCAGCCCTTAAACAGTCCCTGGCAGAAAGTGTGACATGTTTCCAGTAGGCACAGACACAGCAAGCTGATTGTCCTGTCAGCTAAGTCAGAGTCTTGGAATCCAGGCAGTTTGCAGGAGGGAGGGAATCAGGAGATACTGGTGTGAATCTTGCTGTACCATCTACTCTGCATGATCGCTGGCAAATTTCAATAAGCACATGGAGTCTTGGTTCCACTGTGTAAAACGGGAAGAGCTTCCTAATCCATGGGTTGGAGTAGGGAGTATGGATGCTTTATAGAAAGTGCCTAAAACATAGAGGGCAAAGAATGCTTATGAGTGTATCGGTTAGTCAAATGATGGTTTGGGGTCAAAGTCAAAGTAATGGCAACGAAAATGCCTGGGGACAGAGGAGAAGTAGCAGCTCTTCACTTGCTCTATTGCTGGGCCCTCTGCCCACTGCCCACTCATCCACCAAGCCCTCCTATTCACATAATGAAGTTGGGTAGGGTTAGCAATGCTGGGTTCAGGAGCTCAGGGCCCATCCATGATGGCTGTCTCTGTCTTCACTGGCCACTGTGCATGTAGCCACGACCAACCCTCCATCCAACCTGATTCAGAAAGAAAGCAAGTTTGCAGGGGAAAAGAACTATGGTCTTTTGCAGTTTCCCATCCTAATCTTTATTCTAATTTCCTTTCCTCCTGATGGAGTAGGAACATCCTCATGTGTACAATTCTGATCTCTGCCAAGGCCAGTCTTATGTGATAATGACCCTTCTTCAAAACTCAGATTCTCCCCATGTCTCTTGTCTGCTCTGAGCATTTGCGTTCAGAATTTGTGCCCAAAGATCCATGCCCTCTATTCTCTTGCTAGAGAAATTTCCATGTTTATTCCTGACATGCCTTTCCCCCTCCTCTTACTTCTGCCTTTCATTAACCCTCTTCAGCCTGAACACAGAAAGACAATAATTTTTTCACCTCTGGTGGCCCAGTTCATGCTTCTATCAGCACTCCACACATATCTCACATGATGAGTGAAACTCACTGGTTCTAGCAGTTAACCGACTCCATAAATCCAGCTCCATTATATTTATGAGAGAAGGGATGTATTTGACAGTGTTTAAAATTGATCAGTGTCCTCATTAAAATCCTATGCATATGATACCATGCTTGTTAGATATTTTCATGTCAATTAAGAAAGACAAATCTCAAATTTATTTTATCATACTCCATATGAATCCTAGCCTCTTTGAGTACATCATAGACCTAAATATGCATGACTAACAGGGTGGTAGCAGCATTATAGCATCTTTATTTTAATTATCCTATGTCTGGAAAAAGGAAAAGATGATTAATTCTAGAGACAAAAATATCCTTCCTTTCCTTGTAAGACTCTCAGGAGACAACTGTACACTGAAGGTAGGGGCAGAGGAGGAAGAAGCAGTGGTTACAGAGCAGAGGTATAATGGCCTCAGTCCAATTCCACACTGAAGTTTGGATGCCCTTGGTATGCTTTCTGGTCTGTAAAATTACAGCACAAGAAAAATAGATGACTATTAAAGAGTACTCTTACATAATGCAATTCGGTGAGACTTCCGCCTATCCATCAGCCTACTGTTTGTTTCAACTATTAGGCCCATGATACAGTACTGTTGCCTTTATCAATTAACAATTACAGCCTAACAGACCAGAACAGATTTCAGTGGTTTAAAATAAAACAGCATTTATTCTTTTTCATGGGTCCATGGCCAGCTGGTGGGTTGGTGGGGTTGGTGCCGGGGGGTGGGGGTGCTGGCTAGTCTATCTAGGCTGGCCTCTATCACATGACTGGTAGCTGGGTGACCACTGGCCAAGTTGATGGCATTGAGTAGTCAAGTAGGCTCGTTGACCAGAAGTCTAACCTGGTGTGAAAAGCTGGACCATGACCTCCCAAAGATATTCATGTCTGAATGTCCAGAACCTGTGAACATGTTGCCTTACATGCTAACAGAGACTCTGCAGATTAAGTCAATGATTAAGTCAATGATCTTGAGATGGGGTATTATCCTGGATTATCTGGGTGTCCCCATGTAGTTACAAGGGTCTTTATAAGAGGGAAGCAGAAGGATCAGAGGATGGAAACAGAGGTCACAGAGGACGGAAGATGCAGCCTTGCTGGCTTTGAAATGGAAGAAGGATCTATGAGCCAGGGAATGTAGGAAGACTCTAGCAGCCAGAAAGGCAAGGAAACACATTCTCCCCAGAGCCTCCAGTAGGAGCACAGTTTAGTGGACCTCTGGAGTTGTAAGAAGATAAGTAGATGTTTCTTTGAAACACCGAGTTCATGGTAATTTGTTGTGTGGCTATAGGAGATGAGTACAGCTGGCCATGTTACCATGGCGATGGCAGAGCTCCAAGAGAGCATGCAGGAGCGGGCCATGGGCTAGGGACTGGCACACCGCCCTGCTGTCACATTCTACTGGCCAAAGCAGTCACAAGTCCTGCTCAGATTCAAGGAATGGAGTAACAGAGTCCACTTCTTGATGGATTCTCTTTCTCTCACCTCTTGGTGGGAAAAGCTGTGAGGTCTCATTGCAAGGGGTGGAAAGAGGGAGGGGTGGAGAATCACCACCATGTCATGCATCCATCCACCTCCTGGCTCTTAAGCATCTTCTGATCTTGGTTTCTTTTTCATTCCTAGGGACACAGGGATCATGGGCATGTGGACCTCGAGCATGGATGTCTTCCTAAGTCTTTGGAGGATGTACGTGTTTCCGAGAGGTCCTGGATGGGTGGACTTTCTCCAGCACTTGGGAGTGTGCTGTTTTGTGGCCTTCATTTCAGCGAGCCTCCTCTCTGTGGCCTTCTACTGGTTTCTGCCATCAGTGGTGGCCTTCGCCACCTCCTGGATGGTCATGTGTGTTCTCTTGGGCTGCTCCAGGCACTCGCGCTGTTTCATTCTTCTGGTCTTTCTCTCGTGTGGCCTGCGTGAAGGCAGGAACGCTTTGATTGCAGCTGGCACGGGCATAGTGATCTTTGGCCACGTGGAAAATATTTTTCACAACTTTAAATGTTTCCTGGACAGTATGACTTGCAACCTGAGGGCAAAGAGCTTTTCCGTACATTTTCCACTTCTGAAAAAATACATTGAAGCCATTCAGTGGATTTATGGCCTTGCCACTCCACTGAATGTATTTGATGACCTCGTTTCCTGGAATCAGACACTGGTGGTCTCTCTTTTCAGTCCCAGACATGTCCTGGAGGAACAGCTAAACAACACCAAAGGAGAAGTCCTGAGTGTCTTACACCCTGTGACCACCATGATGGAGGTGTTTTCCTCCCTGGGGCAGAAGCTGCTCGCCTTTGCTGGGCTTTTTCTTGTTCTGCTCAGCACTGGCCTCTTTATGAAGCGATTTTTGGGCCCCTGGGGTTGTAAGTTTGAAAACATCTACATCACCAGACAATTTGTTCAGTTTGATGAAAAGGAGAGGTATCGACAGAGGCCCTGTGTCCTCCCACTGAATAAGAGGGAGAGGAAGAAGTATGTTGTCATCCCATCTTTCCGGCTGACTCCTAAAGAGAGGAAAAACCTGGGGCTGTTTTTCCTCCCCATACTTACCCATCTCTCCATCTGGGTGCTGTTCACAGCTGCAGATTACCTGCTGTATCGGCTCATTTTCTCCGTGAGCAAACAATTCCAAAGCTTGCCGAAACTTGAAGTTCACTTGAAACTGCACAGAGAGGTAGGGGCTCCCAGGTGTGTCACAGCTTCTTGCTGGGTCAGTCTTGCAAAAGATCCGGAACCTCCCAAGACAGGGAAATATTTTATTCACCTTTGGATCACTGGTGTCTAACACAGTGCCTGGCCCATAGAAGAAACCCAACAAGTGTAGGTCAAATTGAAGTACTAATGTTAGAATGTGATTCTGTATTAGTGTTCTCTGGCTGCTATAACAAATGATTTCTAACTAGGTGACTTAAACAGTAGAAATGTATTTTTTTATAGCCATAGGAGTGAGAAATCTGAATTCAGTTTTCCTGGGATAAAATTGAGATGTGGTTGGAAGGGACATGTTCTTTTCAGGTGTTAGGAAAGAATTCACTCTTTTCCTCTTTAGCTTCTGGTGGCTGGTGGCATTTCTTGACTTGTGATGGCCTAGCTCCCATCTCTGTCTCTGTCTTCACATCACCTTATAGAAAATCTTTCTCTGCTCTCTTAAGTCACGCACATGGTCTCATGAGGGCTCACTGGGATGACAGGATAATTTTTACATCTCAAGATCTTTAACTTAATCTCCTCTAGTAAAGCCCTTTAAGCCAAGTGAAGTGCCATAGGTTCTAGGGACTAGGATCTTATGGAGGACATGAGGGAAACATTTTTCAGCCTCCTATACTCCATATACAATGAAACGTGGGAATAGATATCTCTGATGTTGAACCTAGAGTTGATTCTCAAGCTGTATCTGGCACAAACCTGAGTCCAGGATTTAGGGCCTGACTTCTTACTCTTAGGGTCTGACTTCTTATGCATCCTGAGTCCTTATCAAACACTGATCTCAGTTCATCAGTGCTATGTTTAAAAAGATGACTGCTGATAAAGGGCTTCTATATGACCCAGTAATGTGGCTGGTACCTAGTGCCCTGGACCACATTTGGGGAAACTCTGGCTTAGGTGCTAAAATGTAAAACCTTTTAGACAAGAATCCTTGACCTTAGACTTTAGCACAGGTGTGTCATTGTAGAACTGAATAAGCAAGCAAGTGAACACACCCAAAACTCCTCTCCAGAAACCCCATGGAATCTCCTGTACTTGGACTGGGGTAAGAATTTTTAAAACCTCCTGGAATAAGTCTAATGTGTCTCCAAGACTGAGAACCGCTGTTTTAAACCCATCACCCGGAAGAACAGAGCCAGATATCTAAGTTCTAATAGCCATCATGTGGTTCTAGGAAAACCCATAATTAGGCAAGACAATGTCTTTTTCTGAGCTGGTGCCCCCTGCATCTTAAGGAATCTGGCTTTCTCCCTCCTCCCAGCAACCATGTGCCAACAGAGAAGACTGAGAGTTTTGTGCATCTCATCTTTTATCTTTTCCATCTTCCCTGTGGAAATTTGTAATTATGTTGACATTTCAGAGGGTCTGGGAATTGTCAGACATTTGCCTTATTTAGTTTTTTAATCCCAGAAATTGTGGCGCAGAACCAGGTACGGCATGTTGGTGCGTGCACACAGGCGTAATTCGTGTTGAGGTCAAGTACACTTCCGAGGCTGTGCACTCACCAGCAGCAGTCACCATGTGCCAGCTGCTGGGAAAATCACAGAGGAGGAAATGACGGCCAGGCTGCTGCTGGTAAACCATCCTCTGAAACCCCATCCTCCCCTTCTCTCTCTCTCCCAGGGTCTCAGATCCTCCTGCTGCATCCACACTTTTCCTCCTCCTTCCCTTTTGGTTCAGCAGATCCAGATCCCCTGGTTCCTGCCCTCCTAATCCTGGGCTGCTTCTCAGAGTTGATTACTCTGAGCTCTCTGCTTTCCCTGAAGAATTCAGTTAATTACCAGGCACCCTGTTGCTCTAGATATTTGGAGCAGGGTGGATAATGGAAGTAGCGTTTCAAATGAAAGCCAAACAAGAATCCCGCAGTCCTTGGTCTTGGGTGTGGGGGGTGGCCAATAAGAAGGCCTCTCTTCCTGCCATTCTCCTTTGTATTATCCTTTCTTGTCTTCCCTTCTTGATTCTCCCTGTCTCTCGATCCCCTTCATTTATTTCTCTCTCTGCTAATACCCAATACACATTCCTGTTTTGTTAATTCCCACTGGTTTAGACAGAGGAGGACAATGGCAAGTTCTGACTTCCCCCAAAAGCACAGAAGCTTTCTAATGACAATATGCTGGCACATTCATCTTGGGCACTGCTGGGTACTGGGGATGTGACCATGTCCAGGCTGTGATGGCCGCATTATGAGGGTGGTATCCCAATGGGGGTGGCCGCCATGTATACACCTAACAGCAGCACGGTGCTGGGCACTGGAACCAATCTGGGAAGGAGGCTGCCTGGGAGTGCCCCTCCAGCTCTCTCCCACTGTGCCTGGGAGATAGCCACAACCAGCTTCTGCATGACTGGCCTTATCCCAAGATGCCCTTGGAGGCTGTGCATCTTGTCTGTGGCTATAGGTTTGCAACAGAGAAGTCAAGCTGGAAGAGAAACATTGGTTCAAGTTTTTGCCCACATTTCTCCCTACTTTCATACAATTTTAGATAAATGTTTTAAATAAAGAAGTTGGGAAATGATCCAAGTTGATCGAGCTGTATGGGTGGGCATTGTAAATAAAAATAGCTGTAGTCCCTACTTGCGCTCTACTGCCTTAACCTTGCAAGATGGCGGGACATCTGGGCCTGCCCTCCACCCATGACTCAATGCTGTCCCAGCAGGTTGTTCACCTAAGAGAAGGAAACACATTTTAAATCATTGGGGTACCATTTAGTATGTTGCTTGGCATTTGGAAAGACTGAATTTGTCTTCCACGTTACCCTCAACCAACCCCATACAAAAATGTTGACTCGATCGTTTTGAAGCCCTGACTCCCAACTGCAAAACCCCCAGTTGGATTTCTAGACTAAATAACTTCTTCCCAGACCGACCCCCCGCTGCTTTCTCATTGCGGGGGATTGCTCATCACTGCCTCAGTCGATGGGTTTGTTTCTTCAATAGTATTAAAAAGACTGCATGCCTTTGCTCTGGGGACTGAAATCTCTATTTAATTGTAGACTGACTGTCTTTTTAATAAGAGGAGAAGCAACACAAATGTTTTTCATTGCGTAGGCGCAGGTTTGAATTTGTATAGAGGTCCCAGGTTTGGCATTTCCAGATTCTTTATAGACCCTGGGATCCAAGGTGCATGATATTTTCTGGATTTTTTTTTTTTTTTGAGACTTCATCTACTTCTTCCTGGGCCCAGGACTCTGTGGCACTAGGGTGATAATAACTTACTAAGTACACCAGTCGGTAAGGTTAATGCTCCATCCCCAAGGTGTTTAATTTACACTGGGAGTAGTTTGTTCATGGGCAGGATCTGGTCCATTAATTCCTGCTTTGCCAATTAGAAAACAAATCCACTGAGAGATTAAATGACTTTCTCAGGTCAGGGGAAAGAAAGAGCTGAATCAGCACACACTTCTGCTGGTGGCTGGGCTGGGTAGTTCAATGTCATCTTTTGCCCTCTGTATCAGTCTGCTGAGGGCAATTTTTTGTTCTCTTGCCTTCAAACATGAAGAAATGCACCCCTCCTGAGTAATTGGGAGACATGCGAAAATGCCCTATTTGAAAGATCTCCTCCAACAAGATTTTAGTCTCCTTCAGTGAGGGTCAACACATCAACCTAAAATGGGATATCACACAATGAATAAGAGGAATCCCCCAAAGCTTCAGAAGATTGATTTAGAGCATGATTTAGTATCTCATCATCTTTGTGAACTTGTTATCTGCTGAAGTGGAGTTTGTCATGATTAGGAGGATGTTCTCTGGGTCATAAGGGGCGTGTCCTCAAGCGATCATCTCCCCCAGTTAATCCAGCTCCCCCATCTCACATTAGCTCATGTGCCAAAAGTGGAGAAACATGTATCCCATGAAAATGTGGATGTGGCCAGATTTGTTAGTGTAACATTAAACAGATTTCTCCATCTTCTTAAAGCCTTCAACAGTGACTCTCCAAGAAGCTATTGAATACTTTTCTGATACACCTATCTCAAGAAAACCAGTGCTTCTGCAAACCCGCTTTGGAAATCACTTCCATAGTTACAGACAACTCATCCCTTCTCCTTTGTTCCAAACACAGCACAAAAAAACAAGATGTGAGAGTTCTTTTAACCAAAGCTCCCTGCAGATTGAAGATAAATGCTATGTGCTGCCAGGAAATATTGAGAAAGATAAAGACTGGGTAGAAAAATGGCATGGATATTAATTATTTTATTCTTTCATTTTAGAAACAAGGAACTCAAGACCTCATCCATGATTCTTCCTTTAATATATCTGTCTTTGAACCCAGCTGCATCCCTAAACCTAAGCTCCTTCTGTCTAGGACTTGGGTTCCTCTCAGTATTATTCTTGTGATATTAATGATGCTGGGACTGTTGTCCTCCATTCTGATGCAACTTAAGATCCTGGTGTCCACATCCTTCTACCCCAACGTGGAGAGGGAGCGCATTCAGTACCTACATGCAAAGCTACTTAGAAAAAGATCAAAGCAGCCACCAGAAGAGTTCAAAAGGAAACTGAGTCTGTACTTTAAAAAGGTGAGGCCAAGATGGGGGGGGGTTAACCTCTAATTAAGTGAATGGTAAGTTTGAAAAGCAAATGGAAAGAGGATTTCAAAGCTCTCTTTGACTTCATATCAGAGTTCATATCCCAACGGTAGAGAGGATTTTGAGGTGGGGGCGGGGTGACAAAATTGCTTGGCTGTGGCTCAGCATTGTGATTTGAATGGTGGTCCAGAGAAGTCTACAAGACATCCTTCAAAATATTGGTTTCAAGTAAGTATGTTAAGCCATATTGTAGAGAGGTTATTTGGGAAGGTCTTCTCTGAATTGGATATTGAATAACAATATCCAATAATACCCAATACTTTCCTGGGCCAAGAATAAAGAGAAAACATGGAAGGATATCTAAAACTTTGTCAATTTCAAAGAATTTGTTCATCCTACAGTGTTATCTATCTATCCATCCATCCATCTATTTGTCTATGGTTTTTATTATATAATGTACATATGTACATACATACATACATATGTGTGTGTGTGTATCACCATAGCTCCCATATACACACGTCAAAGATTTTATTTAACATATTTATTAACGAGGAGAAACCATTTAAAGAATAATTCAAAACACACAGACACATACACAGGTTATCAAGTATACCAAAATAAATTTGCTTCATAGTTGCCTGGCTCCTCTGTCTGGGAGGACACTGGAAGAATCAATTGTCCTTTGCAGGGCAAAGTTCATGTGCATGTCATGGTCATGAATCCTGTACATCCTTGTTATCAGCCATCTACAACTTACAGATTTGGGAAATAGTTCACAGACAATGTAAGACCAAAAAAAATACCAAAAGGATAAGATTTCATGTCCCTTTCAATACCACTAATACCATGATGAAAAATTTATGTAAGAGGCATTTGAAATGAGTCCAGTGTTCATTTATCTGCTTTTCAGGTTCATTTCTGGCTTCCAGTCCTGAAAATGATTAGGAAGAAACACACAGACATTGAGGCCGAAGACAATCCACAAGAGTCTGAATAGCTCTTGAGCCATGTGCATGCATCGTTCTTCTCAGGTCTACCGTTGGTGGTCACTGTTTATGCCCACTACTGGAGGGCTATGCCACAAGGCCACAGAGAGGTTTGGGTTTGCAGGGCCACCTTACATCACCTGGTTATTCCTCCAAATGACTTGTTATCTGTAAGTCAAGAGGTACCAGGCAAATGGTTTTGAGTCTGTCTTCCATACAATGTACATGATCTGGACGGAGTCACCACAGGACTATACCCAGGCCCATTGGTGATGAGCTTCGGCGTACAGTACTAGTCAAAGAAAAAGAATGGAAAATAAAACAATGGAAATCTGTACTGCAGTCTTACTAGCAAATGCCAAGGAGAACATATATGCATAAAGTCTGCAAAATATCTTAAACTCTCTTGTGCCTTTTCTGCCCTTATAAATATCTTTCACACTATTCCCTACCTCACAATTGTCTCTCTCCCCCAGGCTCCTATTCAAACCCTCTTTCCAAAACCCATTTCCAGCAGCTCCCACTGTCCTCTTACCAACACCTTCTCTACTGCACCTTGCTTGCCTCCATATCTTTTGTTATCCCTTCTAGCAAATCCTCCAGCCTGAGAACAATGGCAGGGTGGATCAAAATCACATAATATACTTACTAAAATGCACCTCTTCATCTCTAGCTATCTCAAAATATCTAAAAGGGAGACAAAATTCCTTGAATATCGATTCTATTATTTCTAAAGAATCAGAATGGGGAAATTTTTTTTTTAATTTCAATTAGGTATATATGACAGCAAAATGCATTTTGATTCTTTGTACCCAATTGCAGTGCAATTTTTCATTTCTCTGGCTTTACATGATGTAGCATCCCACTCTATGTGCAGTCTTACAAGTATCTAGGGTAATGATGTCCATCTCATTCCACCATTTTCCTGCTCCCATGCATCCTCCCCACCCTCCCACCCCTTTGCCCAATGAAAGTTCCTCCATTTTTCTTCGGCCTCCAGCCTCCCCATTTTGGAACAACATCCACTTATCATGGTTTACTTCACCAAGCATGATATTCTCCAACTCCATCCATTTATCTGCAAATGCCATGATTTTATTCTCTTTTAGTGCTGAGTAATATTCCATTGTGTATATACACTACAGTTTCTTTATCCATTCATCTATTGAAGGGCATCTAGGTTGGTTCCACAGTTTAGCTACTGTGAATTAAGTTGCTAAAAACATTGATGTGGCTGTGTCCCTGTAGTATGCTGTTTTGGAGTATAGACCAAGGAGTGGGATAGCTGGATCAAATGGAGGTTCCATTCCAAGTTTTCTAAGGAATCTCCATACTGCTTTCCAGATTGGTTGTACCAATTTGCAGTCCCACCAGCAATGTATGAGTGTGCCTTTTCCCCACATTCTTGCCAACATTTATTATTGTCTGTATCCTTGATAACTGCCATTCTGATGAGTGTGAGATGAAATCTTAGAGTAGTTTTGATTTGCATTTTTCTAATTACTAGAGATGTTGAGTAATTTTTCATGTATTTATTGATTGAATATATATCTTCTGAGAAGTGTCTATTCAACTCCTTAGCCCATGTATTGATTGGATTGTTTGTTGTTTATTGTTTTTTTGTTTTTGGTAATAAGTTTTTTGAATTCTTTATATATCCTAGAGATTAGTGCTCTATCTGATGTGTGTGTGGCAAAAATTTCCCAAAATGTAGGCTTTCTGTTCACCTCATTGGTTGTTTCTTTTGCTGAAAATAAGCTTTTTAGTTTGAGACCATCCCATTTATTAATTCTTGATTTTATTTCTTACACTTTAGGAGTCTTGTTAAGAAGTCGGGGCCTAATCCAACGTGATAGAATGGGGAAAATTTTTAATTAGCTATTTTTACTTTTTAATTTTCCATTTTGAAAATGTTCAGATTTACAGAAAGTTGTGTTGGGGAACAGCACACACCTGTAATTCCAGCAGCCCCAGAGGCTGAGGCAGGAGAATTGCAAAGTGGAGGCCAGCCTCAATAGTTGAGTGAGGCCCTAAGCAACTTAGAAATACCCTGTCTCAAAATAAAAAATAAAAAGGGTTTGGGATGTGGCTCAGTGGTAAAGCACCCCAGGGTTCTATCCCCAGAACCAGAAATGGAAAAAAAAAAAGCCCAAACAGGCCAATTTTTAGCCATCTAGAGGCTTCCTTCCTTACACAGCCCCTGAAACCTCCTCTCACATCTGCTAGCAGCAGACAAGATGGAGCATTGTGGTCTAAGACAAATGAGGCGTGGATTGGCCAGATAAGCCACTAGAGGTTTAATATTGTTAGCATGTAAGGGATTTTGAGTGCAAAGTCTTTGGAGTTCACTGATGTGGCATAAGTCAGTCAAGGTAAAAGAGATCAACTTGTTTGGCCAATGGGTCCCTAAACTGCTTACAGATCATCATTCCTAAGGGTGTTGGGGGTTTCTAAAGATTGCTATTACCCAGCCTCAGCCTCAGCCTCAGCCTCTGCCTCAGCCTCAGCCTTAGTGACTCTGACTTGACTGGTCTTGGGTAGGATCTGGGCACTGGCATGTTTAAAGCACCTTGGTGATTCTAATGTGCAGCTAGAATTGAGGACCACAATTCTGAGGGATCTTAAAGAATTACAAGACTTCAATGGTTAAATTTCTTTAACAGAAGGAGATTTTATTAGAAAAGTGTCTGATTCAATAATTCTCAAAGTGTGTTTCCAGATCACAAAGTCAGCCCCTTGGTTGCTCCATAAGAAGAGTGAGATGGAAAACATTATGTAATAAATTACTGACCATCTTTTTACATTTAAGATTCATGAAGCAAACTGGGATAATGAAAAAGCTTAGAGAAACTCTATAATAAAGAAATATCTTTTTAACCTGTCTCACCCAGAATTTCCCCAGATTATTAAACTATGGAACAATTTCATCTGTAATAATTATTAACATCATGTAGGGCCAGTACTACAGCTCATGCTCTGAAAGATGCCTATTTAATTGGCATGCATTTCATCCAAGAACGGATTTGAGAAGAGAAAGATGCACTTGTAATTTTGTCTTATTTAAACACTCTGATGAGTTCATGCTTTACTGGATTTTCTTATGTGTGGTTGTATATGTGTGTGTGTGTGTGTGTGTGTGTTGCTGGGGATTAAATCCAAGGACTTGCACACTGCAGGCAATGTGTTCTACCAATGAGCTACAATCTCAGCCTTGCTGTGTTTGCTAAACAAATAAATGTATGTATTAATAAATTGATACAAGGTGTGAATCTGTGTATAGATTTTTGTATTTATTCCTCCTACAGAAAAGGACCTACCCCACATTAACTAAGGCAAAGAATCAAATGCTCAGTTTTTGGAGAGGATTGCTTGCTTTTGAACTTCTACATTCTCTGAGTTAACTGGTGGACTTAATGACTTAACAACATCACCAACATCTGGTGTAGGCATCCGAACAGAACTACATAGAAGTTGGTGACGCCAGAAGTTCCCCCTGGCTCCTGCCTTTGGTGGACCTGCCTTTGCTTCCAGTCTGGTCAGGGAGCCATACAGGTGCTTAGCCAATAAGTAAAAACACGCAAAAGGAAGTGCCAAAGCTGCAGAATGGATGGTGTTGGGAAACTCAGGCTGGGCTCTCTGCTGCCCTCTGTAGGATGAGCGCTGGACTGGGTGATCAAAGGTCTTTATTTTCTTGAAATCAAATCTACCTTTCTAAAAGAGCCATTTCTGTTTTCTCCAGTGACTTTTAACGGATCACAGGACTTGCTGTCTTCATCTGTTAGGCACATTTGCCCTGGGTCTGAAGTGCTCCTCCCTTGGAAGGACACCCTGGAAAAGAGGCCTTGTCCCAAAAGGCAATTTTGATCTTGAAAACAGGATTTAGACTTGCTCATTTGGGCGAATCTTGCTTGGATATAAAATGCTTATTTAATCGCAGCTTATCCACTTAAGATTTAAATGAATGGTTAGTGAAATTTCTTGAGATGTCTGCTGTGAATTGTGCTTGCTCTGTTAATCTGGTAGAGGCATAAAGATCCTGCCCGAGGTAATTTCATGAAACTTCCTTTTTTCACCTCTAATTTTAATGGCTTTTGAAAGAATATTGTATTATAGTCTAAGTCACCATTTCTCATCTCACGAATCTGAATCCGGTGGCTGTCGTTGGTTAGGGTCTTTCAAGTTCCATCCTGATGTCCACATTGACTTCTTATTTGCTCTGGCTGAGTTTCTATTTGAGAATAAATTGTAGTAATTTTCTCAATACATTCTGAAATGGTTTCCAAAGCTGGCTAATCATCAGAGTTACCTGTGGAGGTTAAAAAATAAAATAAAATTTCAGATTCCCAAACCTAAGCCCAGATAACTGACTTAGCTAGTCAGAGAAGGGTCCTGGGAACCTGTATTCTAAAGAATATCACGAGTGATTCGGATGATTAGGCCACTTTGTTAACTACTGATTTAGGGAATTTTAGCAACCCTTGGAGATGAGGATTGTTGATTAAACACATCTAGATGGTATCTGTGCAATTAATTATGTGAGTATCCACACAGGACTTCCATCTTCCTGTTGCTGAGCCATTAAGTTTTTCCAATAATGCAAAATGCTAGTTACCCACAAGAAATAGATCATCTTCATCTTCTGTAATCCAACTCACCCACTTGTACAAATGGACACCATGATGGTACCAAGAATGCGACAATTTTTGCCTATAGTCAACTATTTGCTTAATATGATTTGGTACCAAATGTTATTTTTAAAATCTGAGTTAGTTCAGTTTAGGAGAAGGTAATCACATTTTTTTAAAATTGGAAGGTGATCTTGACTATAACAGTCACATAATGTAGAAGAAAGAACAGAGACTTTTAGAATGGGGAAGGCTGGGTGCAGACCCTTGCTCTAAACCCTTGACATAAACTAAAGCAACTTAGGTCTTATCTCTCTGAGACTCATTTTTGTTGCTTACAGCATAAGACTTAAAATACCCATCTCATAGCATCTTTTTGAGAATTTAATGAGATGACATTTATAAACTCTCTAGAATACTTCCTATCCTGAACTAGATAAAGAAATGAAAACTCTTTTCTTTCTTTTTTTCCATGGTTCCCTATCCAACCCCACTTTTTTCTACTTTTTACAGTAGGATCTACTACCAAAAGCATTAAGAACAGAAAAGAAGGACTCTCAACCATGCTTGATACACAACAGGGCTTAGCAAATTTTCTTCCTTGAAGGGCTGGGTAGCAAATACTCTAGGCTTTGTAGTCAGATGGCCACTGTTGCAATGGCTGCACTCTGCCATTGTAGTGAGAAAGCAGACACAGGCCAGAGGGAAATGCGTGGTTGTGTTCCAATAAAGCTTTCTTTGCAAAAAAAAAAAAAAAAAAAAAAGTCACAAGCTGAATTCAGCCTGTAGTTCACCAAACAACCAAGAAGACAATCTATGCATTGATACCAGACATGTTGCAATGGGGTATTTTTCTTTCTCTCTCCCTCCCTCCCTCCCTCACTCCCTTCCTTCCTTCCTTCCTTCCTTCTTGTACCAGGCATTAAACCCAGAGGCGCTCAATCACTGAGCCACATCCCTAGCCCCCTCACCTTTTTAAATACTTTATTTAGAGACAGGGTCTTGCTGAGTTGCTTAGGGCCTCACTAACTTGCTAAGCCTGGCTTTGAACTCACAATCTGCCTGCCTCAGCCTCTCAAGCCACTGGGATTATTGACATGTGCAGCTGCACCTAGCAATCTTATTTTATTTATTTTTTATTTGTTCTAATTCATTATACATGTCAGTAGAATGCATTTTGACACATCATACATAAATGGAGTACAAATTTCTCATTCTCCTGGTTGTACATGATGTAGAATCACACCAGTCATGAAGTCATATATGCACATAGGGTAATAATGTCTGATTCATTCTACTATCTTTTCTAACCCATATCCCTTCCCCTCCCTTCACTCCATTCTGTCTAATCCAAAGTACCTCTATTTTTCCCTAGCATCCCCACCTTATTTTGTGTTAGCATCTGCATATCAGAGAAAACATTCCGCCTTTGGTTTGGAGATTGGCTTATTTTGCTTAGTATGATATTCTCCAGCTCCATCCATTTACTTGCAAATGCCATCATTTCATGCTTCTTTATAGCTGTGTATTATTCCATTGTGTATATATATCACATTTTCTTTATCCATTCATCTATTGAAGGACCATCTAGGTTGGCTCCATGGTTTAGTGGGGCTACAAATTGGTGCAACCAATCCAGAAAGCAGTATGGAGATTCCTCAGAATCAGAAAACTTGGGATGGAACCACCATTGACCCAGATATCCCACTCCTCAGTTTATACCTAAAGGACTTAAAATCAGCATACCACAGTGAAGCAGCCACATCAATGTTTGTAGCAGCTCAATTCTCAATGGGGATTCTTAAAGTCAGAAAAAGAAATTCAGAATCCTTCTTGGCTACCCACTGGTTGGAATCTTTGCAAGTCACATCTCTGAGCTCATTTTTTTTCATTTATAAAGATCAAAGAGTTAAGCTGAAGAATCCCTGTGGAAGGTGCTCTCCGTTGAAATCCAGGGTTCTGTGGGAGGCATCAGCAGTCTCCTGGAGAGAACCACGAATGGTCTGTGACACAGGTTTCAGCATTTGATTGGTTTGTTCTTTCACAGTTGATCAATGAATCATAAAAAACAACAGAAGCTCTCGGGTCATTGTATGATTTATTTGATGAAAAAGAGGAAAGATAATATTAGGGCAAAATAAATGTTATTTTCTGCACAGACTCAAAGAAACAATCAGAATAGTGATTCAGTTCTAAATGTCATAGGTAATGTCTCTGGATTAAAGTCAGACTGCGATGTCAGTGGCTGACGACCCGAAAATTGAAAGTTTGGCTTTTTCAAAGGAAACAAAGCAGTCTCTGTAAATGTGATATATTAATTATGTGGTGAAAGAAACCAATCAAAATGGTTTCCATGCACAATAACTGTGCTGTATTTTGCAAGTTGAGATGCTATATGTTCTAGAAAATATGTTGTTTTAAACTCATAATGCAATGAAAGAAAGGATGTTGAATTAAAAACAGGAAGAATTGGTTTTTTTTTGGAGGGTGGGGTTACCATGGATTAAACTCAGGGGCACTCGGCCACTGAGCCACATCCCCAGCCCTATTTTGTATTTTATTTAGAGACAGGACCTCACTGAGTTGCTTAGCACCTGGCTTTTGCTGAGGCTGGCTTTGAACTCATGATCCTCCTAACTCAGCCTCCTGAGCCACTGGGATTACAGGCATAAGCTTTTAATTCAGGTACTGTGACAAGTAGTTTAGCCAAGGCATTTCCATCTCCTGTCTCAATTCAGTTCTTCACAGAAACATTAGTTATTATTTGCTGTTCTCACTACATGCCAGACACCTTTTAATGTATTATCATTTAATTCTAACAAAAACCCCATGAGGGCAGTCCTGAAGCTATTGCAGTTTTGTAGATGAGAAAACTGAGGCACAGAGAGGCCAAATAACTTGTCCACAGTGTGTTCTGGAAGCCAGATTTGAACACAGAGATGCTCTCCCATGTCTTCTTGGGTAGCATGGCCTTTATGGGTACTTTCCCAGTTCTGAGAACTAGATCCTAGTCCCACGGAGGTACCATTCCCTGGGCGGGCGTTCAAGCTCCCCTCCAATTGGATCCAGCCTATCTCCCCACCCTATTCCTCATACTCGCCCTGCCTGAACCCTCCCGTTGGTCAAACACCTCTCTGTACCTGTCCTGCAGGAATCCCCTGCATTCCCTAACACACTCTGCTCCCTGGACTTTCTCATTTGCAAAACCTTCCCTGACCTTCCCTCCCAGTCCACTTCCTTCGGACCTCCATGGCCCTACCAAGTTCTGGTACTCAGGACACAGCTCAGTGGGAGGAACATAGTGGGAGTCATGTGAGTGGACTCTGCTTGTCCTGGCTCTGTCACAGACTGTGTGTGGGAACTGGGAGCTGTCATTTAACCTCTGGACCTCAAAATATATATATATATTTTAATATGAAAATCAGCGGATTTTGATTCAATTTGAAGTTTTCAAATTTCTTTGTAAACTTTTATTCTTTTAAGCAGACGATCCATTTCTCTTGTTAACTCTTTGGAGTACCAATTCCCAACCCAGCCAAGACGAGCAGCCCTTGCTGAAGTAGAGGTAGGGGCCCCAAACCATCCTTTCCTCGTCCCCTTCACCTTGGCAGTTTCTGAGGCGCATCTGAAAAATAAAGTAGGAA